ATATATATATATATAATGTAAATATTAAGAATTGTATTTTTATTTCAGAAATGTGTAAAATTGCGCGCGAGAGGGACGAGCAATAAAAGAGTGTGAGAGTCTCTTGCGATTAGACGCAATAACTAGTTCAACTACTGTCTCAATTGTGTGTAATAATAATAAGAATAATAATAACGATACACAATAAAAACTATAGTAATTAAACAACAAATTTTTTCTATAATTAATTAACAACATCGGACCAGGCTATCCTAAGTGTTAGGTGTTAGTTCAAGTAACAATTAGCTCTGTTCTTTCGAAGTGATGACCTTCCTCTTTCTCTCTCTTTATCTTTATTTTTTATTAGATATAAAAATTTTAAATATTTTACGTATCATTTGTGGTTATGGGTATCGTATGTGAATATGTTATAGAAATAATGCCAACCGTGTGCACACTATATAGAAAAAAAAAAAAAATTTCTGTTTGGTTTCAATGGCACCGAAACAGATTAATTATGATAATTTTTCTCGAAGAGACAGAGGTCATCGCTTGAATTTGATCTACGAATATCTCTGACTAACGAAATCTAGCACTCAATAAACTGTTAAATTTGTATTTATGTACGTGCGTATCTGCTGTTACTCGCGATGGAAAGAGCAAGTGAGCGGAAGAAGCAATTAATTATTATCATTGTGTAAAATAAGTTATGTAATAATAATTACGTTATTTATTTGTGTCGCATCATCAAGAAGGAATCTTTCAAAAATCAATGAGCTTCCAACTTGAATTTCCTTTTCAAAATTTTTTACTTGCTCCTTCGATTTAATATCTTTCTCTCGCATTATAGAAATATATAATTATAGTCACTGCAGAAACGATCTCTACGAATCAATCTTTACGAGGATTCTTTTTTCGTTGTACGCAATCCAATAGGCGGGCAGAACTTTGCCATTTTTTCTACTCGTCTCGGCAGGACACAGGGTAGACTAACGTACCTAAACCTATCTAATGACTTAAAATAATCCCAATAACTAGTATTAGAGATTAACACAAGATACCAGAGAGTCGAATGTGGACCTAAAAGAGATCTATGCGAGTCTACGACCTCGTTCCAACATCTTTTATATCGCGATTATATATTCTTATTGCCACGAACATCGATGATTTAAAAATTTTCTCACCAAAGTAGGAAGCTAAGCAAATTTTAAAATATTTGCGGAATAAGCACTCTTCTCTCAAAGTTTGACGAGTTTAACAAATAATAAATTAAGATCCGTTAAACAACGATTATAAATTCGATGACGAAGATGAGATCGTAGGTCGTCGGTCGCGTAAAAACGAAAGATAAAGATATACAGGATAATACTATATGCATCATAGAGCAACGTTGCTTGAGTTTTTTGTTTTAGCTGCCAACCTCTCTTGTCTCTGTCACCCAGTACGCTTCGTTCACCAGCACCTGCCTTGTGATGTTCTGTGGACAAAGAGAGACTTAAAACCGAAGCAAGTGCAGAATGAATACCTTAAGGAAATGTGATTCGCGAGGGACTTTTATCTCTCGTATTTGTCGTTTTCATCAATAATGCCGCATTTAATCACATTTTCATGTATTTCAAAGAATTAATGGAAATGTCGCGAAGAGAAAGTGATTCGTATATGAAAATGCAAAGAGCAGACAAGGAAAAAAAGAAAAAGCGAATGATATTTAATAATGATTGCCGAAGAGAAACCATTTCGTTTTGACGAAACGGTTTGATCCTTTATGCTTGATCCTTTATTGACAATGTATGAGCGTACAATCGTCGCTTTTTCACCAGCCGATTTTCGACGTTGTACGATATCAAACGATATAACGGATGATCGGAAACCTTACCGCGTTCTCGCGTCGATCAAACACTGGCATGCTGACCGAGGTCATCAGTTTGTACTTCTGCAATCCGCTCGTCTGATCGTGCCGCTTTTGCTTCTTCACATATCGCCGATCCTGCTCCTCCATGTTGTATATCCTGTATTTGTGGCGCAGAATGAGATCCTTCTGTTCCTTACTCTCGCGCTGCTCCCACAGCCAATCAGTCATTTTCGGATCCGTCACGTCGGCATAGACGGGCGTCCAGATGGTCGGGTGATCTGTGCGGCCCAGCACCAGAGGCCTCGCCATCACCGGCACGTACTTTAATACCTGATTCAGATCCGAAAAATTTACGTAATCTCACAAAGAATAAAAATAAATAAATTTGAAAAACATGTTCTCCTAATGTCAAAAAAATGTATACCTATATGTGTATATATATGTATCGTAATACTTTTATGTACAGAATAATAAGACAAATCAATTAGTGTAAAAAAACAAATAATTGTTTAAAAAAGCACATTGTAAATAATTACACTTAATAATTATACTTTTTCTTAAAAACAATTATTTTTTTATACCAATTGATTTGTCTCATTATGTACATAAAAGTATTACGGTAAGATTATCGAAAACTAAATATTTTACGAGATATTTTATTTATTATATCAAAATATGTCAGCAATTTAAAAAACTCAATGTGACCTTGATATGACCTTAACAACGCCACCCAAGATCTAACTATATAATATTCCTATCTTCTTTCCCTTTCAGAACCACACAACTTTTATCTATAAAGTTTACTTTCTAAAACATAGGTTTTGAGATATTTGAATAATAAATTAAAATGAGCCACCATGTATATATTTCTTTACTATTTTCACAAAGATTTCTTGAATACTCTAGCATTTAGTATTTAAATTCCTACGACTTGCAAATTTTACACGTCGTGACATTTCATTTAATTCAAGTTCCGATGGTATGCGCTTTCTTCTTTTATTATTTTTGCCGAACATAATAATATTTGTCGAATGTTTCTAACGATTTAATTCGTTACGTTCGAAATTTAAGGACAATTCCTCGTGCGACTTACCTCTTCTCTCACTTCCGCCGGAGTGCATAGATGCACGTAATATCCTCTGTTCGCACAAGCCATCCACTGCACCTCACGTACATCCGCGACCTCCCGGCCGATTAGATAGGTGAATACTCTGACGGGCATGTCGGCCTTCAGCGGCTCGTCCGGATTGTCCTTCCAATTGTACGCCTCGAAGATCTCCTTGAAGTTATACGGCACTCCGTCGGTGATCAGCATAATCGCTTGATTGCACTTGGCACCCTCTTGCTCGGTGCGAAATGTTTCGAGAAGTTCAAAGGCAGTAGTCAGGGCCAGCGAAAAGTTGGCAATATTCTCCGTAGTAAGGTTCATAATGGCTCGTTTCAGCTCGCGCACATTTGCCAGGTTCGCCTGGACCAGAGTGTCGTTGAAGCAAGGCACTACCTGTACATATTCGTCAATTAATTATAATAATGTAATCTAATTGTAATATTTCGTAAAAAAGGTATACTCTCTCTCAGAAGTTATTCTTATCGTATATAAATATGCAACTTAAATTCTAGCTTTTTTAGATTTACTATCATTTGACATATCAAACTTCTATTTAAATTGATCTAATTCATTCAACTTTTCTTATAAAGATGTTGAATTGATTTTGTAACATATCTGAATTTTTTTGCATTAAATCCGTGTTCTCTTATCAAAATTTTATAATATCTTCAATCTTTCCATAATTTTCTTGATATCTTTTTTAAATGTTTCAATCTTCGACAATTTAAATAATTAATTTTCCAGTTTTCCCCGAATATTTTATTTCTTGAACTAACATTGATTCCTTAATTAATTTAATTCTCTCGGATGGATTATTACCCCTTTGACCGTATCGGAGAATGTGATGATGTTAACAAAGTCGTTGTTGCCGAGAGTGTCGAGGATGTTATTGATCACGTGTCTGGCGATCTCCCGCCGTATACCCGTCATGCTGCCAGAGGTGTCCATCAGGATGAGAATATCTTTGGGACTGGTGGCCGCTTCGATGTACCAGCTTCTCGTCCTACAGTCGAACAGATCCACCGGCTCCATATACCAATTCATAGCGGGATACTGGCGCATGAAGCCGGTCGCGCTACCAAAGTACTGCCAGGACAATGATGGGTCTTGCGCGTAATTATTGACGAAGATGGGATCGAGCTTATCGGACCATTGAATCGCCCGGATGACGTCTGACGCGCGCTCGTAAACATTCGTGGGCACATGCACTGCCGACATGCTGAGATTTACGTTGCCACCGAAATGAAGACTGCATTCGAGCTCGATGGTGTTGTTTTTTGCGTTGATAAACTCGTAGGATTCCGGTGGATCCATATCCAAAGACGCTAGCGCCGATTGCTCCGCTGTGTCCATTATTCTCTAAAAGAGCCCAAGTAATTAATCGTCACATTTGCGGCTGTAATTTAAACAAATAAAGCGTTCGACAATAATGAAGAGATTTCGTTCGAACAATTCTTACAAACATTAAATATCATATATAATTTCACGATTGGTAAAATAAAAAGATCGCACCTTGATAGCCGAGATTTTGGACTCCATCATAGTTTTGATATCCTTAGCGATCTCCTGGACGAGGGCGGCTCCGTCACGTGGCGTCATGTCTGCCGCTTTGTAGCTGTCTTGAAATTTCTCCACTTTTGTCACAAACTTGCCCAATTGCGACAGCTCGAAGCCCAGCTTGTGCGCCCATGTCTTCACCCTATCATATGTGAACACATTATTATTATTATTATAATTATTAT